AGAGCCATTTACCTCTCTGCCCTTCAGTTAACCCCACATGTGTTTATCGGCCAGGTTGGCACAATAAACTAACTCAATGGCCCATTGCCATTCTGTGTAGTAGGTGTGCCATCCTGTGCCCGAATCCTTCATATGAATCCTACAGAATGATCTTTTATGCATATTTAGGCATCTTTTAATAAGTGGCCTTTGAATGTCGACATAATCCTTGGCATCACCTACTACTCTATTCTGAGTGACGTGCTTGGAGTAAAGATTGGACAGGGATGATTGTCCAGTGATTCGGGCTGTGATTCGGGGCTGTGATTCAGAAAATGCCTCCCCGCCTCTGACTGGAATTTCCCAGCATTTTCAGTGGAAGGAAAACAAAAGGAAAGGAAGGAAGGAAGAAGAAGAAGAGACCACGAGGACCTTATTGGAAAAGATTTACGAGCTATTGGAAATAGTGGGCACGTGGTCTTCTCCTTTAATACTCGGACGAGCTCGCTGGACTCGGTTTTGTTCATTTGTTCCCCCGAGCTCTGTGTGGTACAGGGCCACTTAATCTTCTGCCGCAACAATTTATGTGAGTGGGTAGTAAAAAATCTGATTTTGTGTTTGTCTCCTATTTGTGGGAGGAGAACATTGGGGAAAATCAGTGGAGTGATACATGTGCTGAAGTTATTTATGACACCGATCAGAGATTTATTTTCTTTCTCTTTCATCCTTGCAAAAGGGGGTCTCTTACCCTCTTATCAAGCAGGCACGGGGAGGCTCAAGGGGGAAAGCGAGTTGCTTACTAAGGAGGAGGTAAGCAAACCCACACTAAGGCTTATTCTATTAATTTTATACCTGTTCGCACACCATTCCCCCACCCCCAAAATAAATGAATAGGACTTGATTCATATGTGCACCCTGGACTAGACAGCCGAGAATCCCGCCAGAAGAACAGGGGCAGTAATTTGAGAGTTGTGATCAATGGTTATGGGCTAATGAGGCAGATCAGTTTCCCTAAAGATATGTCAAGCACCTTGCTCCCTGATATTGGTTTAAGGTAGAAACGATACGTGTGTGTTTCGATTGGTTTGCTCTAAAGCAGGAACCACTCACAGGAAGTGGGAAGGTGGAGGGGAGACTCCCAGCCTGGGACAGAAAGTGAGAGCTGAGTTACACTGGAAAAATTAATAGGTCCAAGTGTTGAGTGCTTGCTGGGGGGGCAGACATTCCAGGCGAGGGCATTTCGCATGCCTGGAGGTCAGATGGTTGTGGGCATGGAGGTGGAAAGCTGAAGACAGTTGCCAGACCTGGAAGGAGAGCAAAGGAAGCCTCGGAAACCAGGCAAAGGCATTTGGAATTTCTCCTGAGAGCCTGAGGAGCCGAAGAAGGTTTATCAACAGCACACGGCAGGGGCCCAACCTCCTGTGTCCTGGGGCAAGTGGATGACCAGACAAAAGAGCAGTCTGCTGAGAACCTCAGGCCCTAAAAGCGTCACAGAATCCTTTAGAGCAAGTCAGGCATAGCACACATCTAATATTAAGTAATTTTAGGAGTGGCTGACTTCTTGTTTTTCTTGGGAGAAAGTTAGAAAGTCTCTAACTTTGCCCTGTAGGGGGCTGTGCATCTAAATCTCGAGTTGGTTTTAGTCGTCATGAGCTTTGCCGGAGGCTTAACTTAATTACTGAAATACAGAACTGATGTTCTTTGTAGGTTATCACTTCTACCCGCACCAGTACCTTGCATGCCTTTTCAGTATGACCCAGTTCTCAGCTTTTGTTCCCCGGAGCCTTTGGGATCGCTGGGCAGTGTGTTAGGTTGGGTAGACAATGGCCAGGCTCCAAGCCCAGTTGTTTCAGTTTAGCAGAGCGGGTTGCTTTGCTTTGCACATCCGTTTCACGCGTGCAGTGGGACTGTATGGGCACCACTTTGCATGAAGAAAATAGGACGATCTAGAGGAATTGGTTCCACTGCCCTGATGCCGGAGAAGTTTGAGGTGGCAGGTAGGGAAAGGGGTCTACCTCACAGCACTTTTTAAATACATCCATAGACGCAGACTACACAGCCCTCTGAGACAGAAATCCTTTGTGCACATCCTTTGGGTTTCTGTAGTGTGTGGTTGTAAGTTTTACGTTTACAATAGGACGGAAAAGTCAGAGTGTTGTTAGTGCAGTGTAGTTCTGCCCTCCGTGTGTGATCTGATCTGCGGTGATCCTCTCTTCCGGCCAGATTTCCTTGCTAAGAAAGCAAAAGTTAGCGCATCCCCCTCAACCTCGATGTATTCTGGAATGTGAAGAATTATTCTACAATTTCAAGCGATTTCCAAACACTCCATTTCTTCTTTTCTCTGCCCGGCTGTTTAAAGATGTGTTTGCATCCTGTGACAGATATCCCGCAGTGTCTGTGTAAAGGCCCCTGCAGACCCTTGACTACACGACTTCTTTGTTTTAATAACTGTGGCTTATTCCTTTTGATTTCTCCGTGATAGACCTCTGGGCACCAAACATAGGAATGGAAGCCAATGGAGGACCACCACCCCCCGCCCCCCTGTCCCCACTCCTGCTCTGTGGTCCATGGCTCTAAAGTGTTTGTTCTGTGACTTTTTGTTTCCCTCTCCCCTCTCTGCAGTCCTATCACTCTCATCAGTATGTGGCCAGAGCACTACGAGTGAGTATGCACACCCCCACGTTCCGGTCTGTGGGATTTGCATGGGGGTGATTACTAAACTCTTGTTCTAAAGTAACAGCGCTGCATCCTGGGTAACAATCCTGGTGGTTTGCTTGCATGGCACATTCAGTATTGGAGAAGCGAACTTCGGATAGTAGCATCTGTCCGCATTTGGGTGGTCAGCGGTTATTTTGTTTTTCCTTTCTAGCCCTTCTCAGTCCCCTCAGCTGTTCCACGATGATACCCACTCGCGGATTGAGCAGTACGCCACCCGGTAAGGAAGCCCGAACACAGCCCTGGTCTGCATGTCCAGCCAGGATGCATTTCTTTCTGAATTCGTCACACAGTGTCAAAATGCCTTGGTATCAGCAATGTCATCCTGCAGGAGTCATGACTCCCTTATATTTGGAATCTGGGTTCTCATCTTCTCGTGTTGTGATTTGCACTCACCCAAACACCTGCTATATATACTCCGAAGAATATAGCTCTATGGGATGTGATCACTGAGCTCGTGAGAAGCCTAACCCTCTGCACGGGTGCTTTCGATCATGTAACCCAGTTCCAATGACTGACAGTCGGGATTGAAAGGATTCTCAGTAGACGGTGTGCATGTGGATTACATTATGTAATTAAATTTATGCTAATACTTCATTATGCTTGCTCCAGAGTCCCCAAACAATAGGAAATATTGGCTGCGTTTGATGAGGGGACACATTGTATACTAGCCATCTGTGGGCTATAGTAAGTAGTAAGCCGCGTCTTATATGAGGAGCTTCAAAAAATTTGTGGGAAAATGGCCTTGAAAGATAATGGAATTTCCCCCAGGGACAAAAATAAACAAAATCAAGCAGCAAACCCCTTGCCATCAAGTAGATTCTGACTCAGAGGGACCCAGTAGGATGGGGTAGCGCTGCTCCTTAGGGTTTCCGAGGATGTAAACCTTTATAGGAACTGACAGCTTTGTCTTTCTCCTTTGGCAAAGCTGGGGAATTTGAGTTGCTGATTTTGTGGTTAGCAGTCTGCTCAGTAGTCATTACCTCACCAGGACCCTAACCTTGTATTTATGTCGTATCTCAGATTGCCATAGGGTTACTTCTGACTCACTGAGAACCAAGGGCGCACAGAGTAGAACTGCCCCCTGGAGTGGCCGGTAGATTCAAACTGCAGTCCTTGTGATTAGCAGCCCCGTGTTTAAACCACATGCCACCAGGGCTCTTGATAGTGGCTAGCTCTCCTTAAAAAGATTAGTACAAGTATCATAATCATAGTAATATTTGAGGGGGTTCTGTACCCAGTAGAATGTCTGGGGAAAAGCAGGCATCGAGTTAGGAAAGAGTGTGGCTTGTTCAGGAACTGTAGGTAGGCAAAGGTATATAGGACTGAAGGAAGGGAGAGAGGCTGGAGCCAGAAAATGAAGAATCCACTAGCTAACAAGTTGGCTTCCGACCTTATGTCAGAGGCACTCATAGATGGTCTTTCAGGATGAGAGGAACATAATCAGACTGGTGTGAAATATGAGGTCTTGTTTCAGTGGGGTATGTAGACCAGGGGTCCTCAGGGTAAAAGAGAGCTTGGAGCTAGTGGCTGGTGGGGTGGTGGGGCGGGGGAGGGCCTCAGATAGGAGGCTGGATCATGAGCTTTGACAACATGGGCAGAAGACAGACGTCTATGATCAGAGTGATAGAAATGTAAGTCAAAATGAGATGTTGTTTAACATTAGAAGTCTTGTTAGAAGATAGGGACCTTCCCAGTGCCAATTTAAGAAGGACGGAGGGCATGTTCCTGACTCAACATGGCCGGGCTGTCTAACCTTTTTTATTTCATTTCTCAGACTGGCCCAGATGGAAAGGACAAATGGGTCCTTCGTCACTGACAGCAGCTCTACCACAGGAAGCGTGTAAGTAAATCCTGAGAGTGGTGCTACTTGGGGAGGGCGGTTACTGGTGGCATGAAGGCTATCGGAAATCGTTTTCGTGGATCATAACTGGATTTTGACCCCAGTCGAAGTGGAGTAGTGGTTACACAAAGGCCTACCGAGATTATGCCCTTCTAAGCCAGGAGGGTATAAACTGGATATGTGTACTTAGTTTCATATAAATCTATGGAAACATTCTATGTTTGCCATCTAATTTGCCTTAGCTTTAAAAAATCTGTTGGTTTTATTGATGATCACAGGTCTATCAATTCATATCTTTTGTCTGATATTTAATCAGTGTAACTCCACAGAATGTGTGCCCTTTCTATTAAATTCTCTCTTCTACTAACTTTTTCTCCAAAAGCCTTGCACTTAGTAATGTAAAACCCACCCCCTTTTGAAGATTGCTAACTCCCCTACCAATGTTTTGTTTTATTACCATCTCAGAAAAGCCTCACTGCTTTTAGAGTACTTTTATAAAAGCTTTCTCCCTACATAGTTATCTCTGACATCCCCATTGTTGTGTGTTAACTTGACCTTGGACATTTGTCATCAAATATTTTATCTCTGTTTATGCTACTATATTTTATGTCACTGGATTTTGAGATTTGAGCATTTGTTTTGCCATAAAATTAGCAGTTTTGATATCTAAGGACTTTCAATAGAATCAACTTTGCTTGACTCAGGCAGGTTCACGGTGGTCTGGAGTCAGTGGGAAGCTGTAAAAGCAATCAGGAAACCTCTGAAAAATAGTACTTAGGTGTTCTGTTCTCAGACTGGGGAGAGATAAACAACATCTAACACAGAATGCCGCTTTCGATGTTCTTTTAAGAATTATTTTATCCTCAAACATATAAAAGTTCTCAGGAGAGTTTCCAATTTTTAAAAAACTTAAGATTAGCATGTCAATACTTTAAAAAAATATGTAGTTCTGTGAATATTATTCATGTATTCTGAAGGTGGATCAGTTCCCAAATTGAGATAATTGAGTATTCATAATACATTTTCATCTTTAACCTACTAGTATTGTGTACTTCATAAGAAGTGATTAAATATCTTGATTATGTCCTAAATCAACATCATTCGCTCCTAGACGGATAATAGCCAAAGTACGTAATGAAATGAAAACCTAAATATTAAGGCCAGAATCTTACTTCTTTCAAATGTGTTTACTCATGACCATGAAAAAGGAAAGTAATTCTGAATTTCGATAATGCTATCTCCAAATAGAATGAACACTGTTTACATTTAAACTTAGTACTAATTCCTAGAAAAGAAAATCAATCATATAATTAATCGGTGAATGATCAGATCTTGAATTCTGTGAAACCTGGGAAAGCCTGCTTGATGGACCTGCTCTCTTTACACGGTTCTTGCAAGGGTTTCTTTGCCTTTTACTTTTCTATCACTTTTTCTTAGTCAAAGATATTTGAGCTTTCCTGCTCTTCACAGCTAGTGAAGTTATTTTCTTGGCCATGATGAGAGAAACGAAACACCAGCCGTCAATAATGACTATAATGCAGGGCTTTCCCCCCTCCTTTTGGAGAGCCTGTGGTTAACACGTAGCAGCCCATCACTGCCCTGGTAGTGTACGTGAGAGACTAGAAGTGTGGTTGTTGACCTCACGAGTCTGCCAGGCGATGGAGGACACTGGTAAGTGCGCCTCTGGAGGAAAAAAGCAGGGACAAGCATCTCTGGTAAAAAGAGTAATGCACACCCCGACCCCTCCCAAAAGATGATGGCCATATTCTAATCCCTGAACCCTGCGCATACATTAAAATGTCTGGCCAAGGGAACTTGGTAGGTGTGATGAAGTTCAGGATATTGAGATGAGATTATCTTGAGTTGACTGGCTTGTCTAGCATCTTCTTTTTTTTTTTTTTT